TGAGGTTTACCTTATAGGGGTACAGGTGAATCTTTCTAAGAGTAGAATGTGAATGTTTTAAAGCAATAACTGAGAAAATGACATGAAGGCTGTGTGGACCAGTTGATGGAAGTATTTCAGATTGCATGTGAAAACCCCACACTGTACCCCAGAAGTGCATTAATGTACATAGTTACCGTTCAATAAAAAAAAAAAAATAAAAATAAAAATAAAAAAAAAAGGAGATGGGGAACACATGAGCACCCTAGATTGCTAGGCCCATAGCAACCCTCTCACATAGAGCAGCACAGAGGAACACACAGAAACATGAGCTCACCTTGGCTGGAGACATGACATATTCCATTGGTGTCCATATCATTACTTGGCTTGGAGGAATTCATGGAGAAGAGAAAGTGGAAACCACAAAACAGGATGTCAATAAGAAGGCAGAGAAGTTACTCCGTTGGCAAGGATGGCAGTGCAGCAGCCACCTGTGTCCTTGAATCCCTTTCTGAAACATGCATTCGATTTGTGCCCACTTCTCAGGGGCAGTTGCCTTGAGAGACATGCCATTGGCAGGCAAGAATGAAATGCATTCCTTTTCAGGATAGAGTTGCCTGGAATCCTGGAATCGATGTGGCTGAGGCTAGCAGATGGCTTTGTAGGGTAAGCATTTCCTGGGTTGGAGGGCTGACACTGTGTTTCGGATTTTGTAGTTTCTCCCAGGAATGGCTTCTCAGTGACGTGGCTCTGGCTTCTCCTGGGTGCAATACACCTTGGTGGTCACGGACTCTCCCATTGCCGAGTCCCAGGGGGTAAAATTTCTAGCAACTTGTAATGTGCTTGGATTGATGATGACTCCCTTGTCAAAATATTCCTTGGAAAAGCTGAACAAAATGAGTGAAACTTACTACCATCTCACTCATTGGAACTGAGGTCCAGCATGTTGCCTAAACCAGGGCCTTTAGGAGTGTCACACAAAGTGCACTGCTTCACATTCTTTCCATGCCTATAGGGCACGCACAATGGGAGTTCTCCCTGGGTAGAGGCATCAGGAATAGGGCTGCGCACAATGCACCTGGGTAGATTTGTGAGTGCAGTGATGGCTGTATTAATGGCAGGGCGCCATCATTTCCAGCACAGGGATTACAGGTGAAGGTGGAGGTGCAGGCCTCCTGGGCTTGGTATGCTGGCAGGCAGGATATGTGTGTGTAGACAGAGGAGCGGGCCTCCAATATCCAGGGACGAGCAGATAGGCCAGGCCTTCAGGCTGACCGTGACCTTGCTCTTTTGCTTTGCAGGGTAAAGCCTTGTTCAGTGGTGATGGGTGGGGGATCTATAGAAATGGCCTAATCCTCTGAGTTTCTCCCCCATTGGGTGCTCAACTAAGTGGCCCAGCAAGGGAGGATGGGCTGTCTCCCCACCCTCTTACTTGAATCACCACAGCTGGAGGAGAACTGAACCAGGTCCTGACCTTCGTGACAGAAAGGGTTCCCAGAGAGAGGAGACACATGGTGTCCTCACATGGACATCCATGTCGGGGGTGTGTACAGGAGGCTTCCCAGATATTCCTGGGCCAGTCTTAGGTTGCAGGTGGAATTTTTGGCATGGTAGACATTGCCAGTAAAGTCATCTAAGGGCGATCCCTGTGACTGCTCCTGCTGCAGTGTCCTCAGGCTGGTGTCTAATTGACCTTGCCTTTTCCCTGCTGACTAGGTTTCCAACATTGTCTTCCTCATAGGAGAAGTCCTATGGGGTGCCACTTTAGTACGTGTGGTATTGTAGCTTTTCTTAGCCAATATTCCCATGGATCCTTCTTCCCTTTCCTGGGAATTTTGCTTCTTGAAAGTGTCAGGAACAAAATTTCCACATCAGCAGACATGTTCTCCTGGGATCTGGCTCCACAGTCCTGTTTGCCTTGAGGAAGGGTAGATTTGTGTGCAGCCCCATTTGCACATGGTGGAATAGACCAGGAATCCCCTCTTAAACAGGGGACCAGTTCACTGACCCTTAGACTGTTGGAGGACCAGACTATAGTTTACCAAAAACCTATGAACAAATTCCTGTGCACACTGCAATATCTTATTTTGAAGTAAAAAAACAAAACAGGAACAAATACAATATTTAAAATGAAGAACAAGTAAAGTTAAATCAACAAACTTTCCAGTATTTCAACGGGAACTATGGGTCTGTTTTTGGCTAATGAGATTGGTCAAGGTCCAGTTCCATATTTGTCACTGCTAGTCATAATAAGTGATGTAAGTGTGCATCAGTTAGTCTAGATCTGGTTGGAGATTTCAGATGTTTCATTCAGGAAAAAGTCTGTTCACAGACATAAGTACTGCCAAAGATGGTTGCCATTTTGAGCGCATGGTTCCTGAGATTAGGATGTGTCTTAGAGGGGAGAGATGCATAGAAATTAGGAATGCTGCTTGACTTGAATGAGTCTATCAGAGAGTCACAATTCTGCAGTTTAGCCAGTTCCATTTGGTAAATTGTATCCACATTTTCAATGTCAATAGAAAATGGGTTACGGAAAAGCTGTATGTCCTGTTCATGGAGATGAAACTCTTTAAATCTAAATTGGAACTCCTTTTGCAACTTTTCCAGTGAATCCACACATTTTGTTTTGGAATGCAACCAATGGTTTTTCTGCTAACAGATTTCGAGTTATGAGGAGATGGTAGAAATTTTCCTCCTTCACTTGTTTGATGAGGAGGTCTAATTTTACTCCAAATGCTTTCACATGTGATTGAGTATCACAGATGGGCTTCCCTTTTCCTTGAAGTTGCACATTGAAACTGTTGAGTAGTTCTGTTTCATCTGTTAGAAAGGCAAGGTGCCATTTCCATTCTGCATCATTGAGCTCTGGTACTTCTTTTCTTTCTTTCTTTCTTTTTTTTTTTTTTTGAAAGTAGAAAAGCTGTAATCTGTGGAAGTAAGTCATAGAAATGTTTCAAAACTCTCCCTCGACTCAGCCAACAGACCTCTGTGTGGTACAGAACATCTTCATAGGCAACATTTAGCTCAGACAGAAATTCCAGAAATTGTCTGTGGTTTAGTGTATTAGCTCTAATGAAGTTAACACAAGATACCACAATTTTCATGACATAGTCCCACTTCAGTGATTTACTACACAGCACTTGTTGGTGGATGAGGCAGTGTATGGCTATTGGATGAGAATGGTTATGTTTGTCCATCTCTTAGTTAATGTGAGTAATTACTCCTATCTGAGACCCCACCATGCTGGAACAACATCAGTTGTCATACTGGCTAGTTTAGCCTAGTCCAGCTCCAGATCTTTCAGTTTGGCAAAGCTTTTCATAGATATCTTCTCCTGTAGTTGTTCCTTTGATGCTTTCCAGTGCAGCAAGCTCTTCTGTGATTTTGAAATGGTCATTCATCCCACAAATAAAAATTAGAAGTTGTGCAGAATCATGAACATCACTACTTTCGTCAAGTGCCAAGGAAAAATAGGAATTTTTTTTTGCAGAGTTTTGCAAATGCTGATGCATATTGTCTCCCATATCTTCAATCTTTTGGGTAATTATAGGTCCTGAAAGACTCACCGTACTAAATAAATCGGCCTTCTCTGGACACATCTCTTTGGCAACAGAAAGAAGGCATTCTTTAACAAATTCTTCCTCCACAAATGATCTGCCAGTGCATGCTATTAGCTTGGCAACTTGAAAACTTGCTCTTAGTGATGAAATATTTAGCTGCTTCTGCTTCACAAAAGTATTTTGCTGAGTTGTCAATGTATTTTTCAGTTTTAATATTTTATCTTTTCTCACTTCTCTGACCAAACAGTCATATTTATCTTTATGTTGAATTTGATAGTGTCGATGCAAATTGTATTCTTTGAACACAGACACTATATTCTGGCATATCAAACACACAGCTCTTTCCTTGAACTGCATGAAAAAGTAATCATAAGTCCATTGTTCTTTGAATATCCTACACTCTGAGTCAATTTTTCTCTTTCATGATATCATTGTTTCCTAGGGATTACAAATTGCTATTAATAAAATACATATATGTATATGTATTTTATGTATATAAAATATACATATATGTATATGTATACATGTATGTATATGTATATGTATATATATAGTGCTACAAAAACAATATACCAGCAATAACTTTGCCCACACAGAGACATATAGATTGCACTGCCAATCAATGTGTTCTGATCAGTGTCCATCAATGCAGCCCTGACAGTCCACATCATTTCAACCTCACCAGTGCCCATATTGGTAGAACTCCACTTTTACCTCAGGCTCACAGTGGTGAGGTACAGGAACCGGCATGATTACAAAGCCAGTTCTTCCACCACCTTTCCAGTTCACACTACCCTTTGCAAACTTCATTGCAATCTGATAGCAGTGGGTGTGAAGATCCATGGGAAAAAAGAAGGTATGTATGCCTTTTTCCTTCTGAATCTAATGCGAATTCAGCCATACAAGCATATGGTTGAACTTGTACCTGCTCAGAGATTGCAACAGTGTGAACCGGGGTCTACACAGCACTGAACATTCAACATCATACACAACTAAATAACAATCAGAATATAAATGCACTTACTGTCAATGAAATTGGGTTTCCTACTTCTCTGCTGTCTGCAGAGCCAGATTAAATTCCCTTGGGTCTCTAGGCAGATTACTAGTTTGGGGCCCCCATGCAATAACACTGAACACTGCCCATTTGCATTAACACTGACCACTGATCATTTGCGATAACACTGACTACTAACCATTGGCAATAACACTGACTGCTGAAAATTTGCATTAATACTGAGCACTGACCATTTGCATTACCACTGAGCACTTACTATTTGCATTAGCACTGAGCGCTATTTGCATTATTACTGTGATGCAACCCACCCTAGAAACCACTCCAAACCAACTAACCAACTTTTTAAAAAAAGGCTATTCTACCTTAAAAAAAAAAGTTGCCCCCTTTTTGCAAAAAAAAAAAAAAAAAAAAAAAAGACCTCCTAAATTTAGGGAAAAAAGCCCCCACTTAACTGCCAAAAAAAGGCCCTACTAACTGCAGAATAAAAAAAGTAGACCTCCTAACTTCAAAAAAATAAATAAATCCTAACTTGTTCTTACTTCGGTCTTCAGGCAGCAGCAGGCTCTACACAGGCAAGCTTGTGACTCGAGAGACAGAGAGAAGGAGGGGAGTCGAAGAGTGCGGTACACATTCCACACATGCACACTGCGGGCCTGGGACAAGTTGGCTGCTAAGCAGGACAGGAAGTGGCGGCAAAAACACCTGGTGGGCCAGATAAATGTCCTTGGCAGGCCACGTGTAGCCCACAGGCCACAGTTTGAGGACCCCTGGAATAGACATTGGCTTGGAACAGACTGATGATTCTAGGTGTAGGCAGTGTCTTCAGTGTTCCATTTCCAGTGTGGGTGGTCAGAAGCCTGTTTTCTCACTTAGGGACTGGGCAGGGACAGCATGACAGGGATAGGTTTGGAGGTTACCCGGCTGGCAGTTGCAGGAGAAAAGGTGGGTGTGTGATTTGTGATCAATCACTCCTTGTAGGTGACTGGGTGACTGGAAATTGATGGGTCCACAGCGAGTGTTATGGTTTGTTGGGGTCTAGCTTTGGAAGCATGAGGATGGGGGTTTGATCAAGAAGCTGCATGATGAGCCCATTGCCATAGTGGTGAGTCCAGTGTAGCTCTCTGGGGATGATACGTACAAGGCCCGTAGATGACAGTGTACATACCTCCTAGCAGAGGGTTTGGCTCGGTCATTCAAAGGGCAAAACACCCGTGGCTCTTGGGTGTCGTCACTCCAGGAAAAGCTTGTTGGAGCCCTTAAAGGGAGGGCTTCCACATGGGAAGTCAGTATCAGGCCACCCGTGTGAGTCCTCCTATAAACATTAGGCCGTGAATCTGATGGATATCCCTGTTTGGATGGTGATGGTATCCAGTGGTATTAGTGGTCTTTGGTTTTGTGCCCAGCTGCCTCCATGGCTGAGGGTTCCGACCCAGCACATCTTCATTGTTGTTGAATTACAGACAACACAGGAATTGTGATTGGCTTTAGTTGTGCCCACAGAGAATTTATACTTTCAGAAGCAGAGTTGGTTGGTGGGCAAGCACCCCCCCCCTTAGACCACAACAGAGTGAGTTCAGAGTTGATGTCATTTATGTGGTAGGCCTTGATGTCAAAGAATCGGCCTTTCCCAGTGTCAGGTATAGAAGGTGGGCACCATGACAGCTCCTTCAGGAGATAGGGAGCATACGAGCACCCTAGGGTGCCAGGCGCAAAGCGAATCACACAGAGAGAAGCACAGAGAAACACAGAAACATGAGTACACCTCAGCTTAGAGACCTGAGGTGTACCGTGGGTTTCCATATCATTATTTGGCTTAGGGGAATTCATGGAGATAAGATGGCAGAAACCGCAAAACAGCATCTCAAGAAGAAGGCAGGGAAGTTACTGCATTAGCAAAGATAGCAGTGCAGCAGACACCTGTGTCCTTGAATCCCTTTCTGAAACATGCATTCGATTTGTGTCCACTTCCCAGGAGCAGTCACCTTGAGAGACATGCCATTGGTGGGTGAGGACAGGTGCATTCCTTCTTAGGACAGAGTTGCCTGGAATCCTGGAATCACTGTGGCCGAGGCTGGCAGATGGCTCCAGAGGGTAATCATTTCCTGGGTTGGAGGGCTGATGCTGTGTTTTGGACTTTGTAGCTCCTCCCAGGGATGGCTTCTCAGTGGTGTGGCTCTGGCTTCTCCAGAGTGCAGATGACCTTGGTGGTCATTAGCTCTGCCACTGCCGAGTCCTGGGGGGTAAAAGTTCCAGTAGCTTAAAACATGCATGGATCAATGATGAGTCTCCTGTCAAAGCATTCCTTGGAAAAGCTGAACAAAATGAGTGAAACTCACTACTGTCTTGCTCATCGGAATTGAGGTTCATCACGTTGCCTGGAACAGGGTCTTTAGTAGTGAGGGACAAGGTGCACTGTTTAACATTCTTGCCGTTCCTTCAGGGCACACACAATGGGTGTCCTCCCTGGGTAGGGGCATCAAGAATAGGGCTACATGCAATGCGCCTCGATAGGAGATTTGTGACTACAGTAGTGCCTGTATTGATTGTATGGCACTATTGTTTCCAGCACAGGTATTGCTGTAGAAGGTAGATGTAGAGGCCTCCTGGGTTTGGTAGGCTGATAGGCAGGATTTTCTTGTGCAGACAGAGGCCAGTGTGTCCAATATCTTGGGACGAGGAGATAGACCAGGCCTTCAGGCTGACCGTGAACTTGGACTTCTGCTTTCCCATGGTAAGCACATATTCAGTGGTGATAGAGGGAGGGCTACAGAAAAGGGCGAACCCACCAAGGTTCCACACCCCCCTCATGGGACCCAGCAAAGCAAAAGGGGCTGTCCCCCCCCCCCCATATTTATTGCATTGCCACAGATGGAGTTAACATGAACTGGGTCTTGATGGTCCTGGCAAGAATGTATCCCAGAAGTGACACTTGGTATCCTCACTTGGACATCCACATGAGGGTTTGTGGAGGAGGCTTCCCATATATTCCTGGGCAAATCTCTGTTTGTGGGTGGAATTTTTGGGCATTGTAGAGATTGCCACCAAGGTCATCCAAGGGTGGTCCCTATGACCACTCCTGTTAAAGGGTCCTTAGCCTGGTCTCCACGTGACCTAGCTTTTCCCAGCCGACTAGGTCTCCATGGTTGTGTTCCTCATAGGGAAACACGTCCTTTAGAATCCCACTCGCACATGTGTGGTATAGTGGCATTTCTTGGCAAATATTCACTTCTTCCCTTTCCCAGATCCTTGCTTCTTGAAAGTGTCAGGAAGGATTTCCACATCAATGGGCATGTTCTTCTGGGATCTGGTTCCAGAGGCCTCTTTGCCTTGAGGAAGGGCAGGGAGTATGTGCAGTCCCAGGTGCACTACTGTGGAGCAGCGACTGGCTTGGGACAGGCTGGTGATTGTGGTTGTTGGCAGTGTCTTCAGTGTTCCATTCCTCATGTTGGTTGGGGCAAAAGGTTGTTTATTCCCTTAGGGATTAGACAGGGTTAGCATGACAAGGATGGGTTGAGAGGTTACCCAGCTGGCATTGGATGGAGAAAACGTGGGTATGATTTGTGATTGACCATGCTGCTTGTAGGCAACTGGTTAACTGGGTATTGGTGGGTCTACAGTGATTGTTATGGTTCTGTCTGGGTCCAGAGTTAGAGGTGTGAGGTTGGGAGTTTGGTCAAGGTAGCTGTGTGATGGGCCAGATGCCACAGTGCGGTGACACTCTGTGAGGTTGATGCATGCAAGTTCCAAGGGTAAGCATGTGCACGCCTCTTGGTAGAGAGTTCAGCCTGATTGTCCAAATGGCAAACCCTGCTTAGCACTCAGGCATTGTGCTGAATCCAGGAAGGCTTTTGGAGGACCAAAAGGGAAGGCTCTTATGTGGGAAGGCAGCATTGAGCCACCGGAATGAGTCAGGGTATGTCCATTAGGCAGTGAATCCAATGGATGTGGCTGCTCAGATGGTGGCGGTGTCCCGTGATGTTGGTGGACTTTGGTTTTGTGCCAGGCATGCCTCCCTGGCTCAGAGTCCAGAGCCAGAATGTCTTTATTGTTGTCAGATCTCAGAGATCAGGGGAATTGAGAGGGGCTGTAGAATATGTCCACAGTGGGTATATGCATTTGAGAGCAGCCTTGTTTGGTGGATGAGTCACCCCCACCTTTTGTGCACAATGGACTTAGCTCAGAGTTGGTGGAGTTTATGTGCTAGGCCTTGGTGTCAAGGAGTTGGCCTTTCCCAGGGTCAGGTATAGAAGGTGGGCAGCATGACTGCTCCTCATAGGGGAACATATGAATGCCTTATGGTGCCACACATGCAGAATAGCACAGAGGAACATACAGAAACACAAGCATACCTTGATTGGAGACACGATGTTTTCCATGGGTGTCCATATCGTTACTTGGCTTAGAGAAATTCATGGAGAAGAGAAGGCAGAAACTGCAAAACAGGATGTCAATGGGAAGGCAAGGAAGTTACTCCACTGGCAGTGATGGCATTTCAGTGGCCACCTGTGTCCTTGAATCCCTTTCTGAAGCATACATTTGATGTTTTTCCACTTTTCAGGGCCAAATGCCTTGAGAGACATGCCATTGGCAGGCAAGGACAAGGTACATTCCTTCTTAGGACAGAGTTGCCTGGAATCCTAGAATTTCTGTGGCCGAGGCAGGCAGATAGCTTTGGAGGGTAAGCAATTCCTAGGGTGGAGGCCTGATGATGTGTTTCAGATTTTATAGCTCCTCCCTGGGCTCAGCTTCTTCCCAGAAAATAGACCTTGGTCACTGGCTGGCCCACTGCCAAGTCCCATGGGGTAAAAGTTCCAGTGGCTTGGAACATTCTTGGATTGATGAATCCCTCATTAAAACATTCCTGGGAAAAGCTGAAGAAAATGAGTGAAACTCACTACTGTCTTGCTCATAAGAACTGAGGTGCAGCGTGTTCTCTGAACCAGGGCCTTTAGGAATGAGGTGGAATGTGCACTGTTTCACATTCCTCCCATGCCAGTAGGGCACACACAATGCTAGCTTTCCCTGGGTAGGGGCATCAGGAAGAGGGTTGCATGCAATGCACCTGGATAGGAGATTTATAAGTGCAATGGTGACTATCTTGATGGCATGGTGTCATCATTTCCAGCGCAGAGATTGCTGGTGAAGGTGGAGGACCACCTCCACCTTCAGCATGGTAGGCTGTCAGGCTGGACTTTTGTGTGCAGGTGGAGGACTGGGACTCCAATTTCCGAGGACAAGCAGATGGGCCAGGCCTTTAGGCTGACCATGATCTTGCTCTTCTACTTTGCTGGGGTAGAGCCATGTTCAGTGGTGATTAGGGGGAGGGCTATAGATGTGGCTGAATCCTCTGAGGTTCTCTCCCCATTGGACCCTCAATTTAGGGGTTCAGCAAAGCAGGAGGGGCTGTCTCCTCACTCTCTTACTCGGATTGCCAGAGCTAGACGCAAACTGATGCTGGTCCTGATGGCCCTGGCAGGAGGTATCCCAGAGAGAAACAGGACACATGGTGTCCTCATGTGGACATCCATGTCTGGGGTGGGTGCAGGAGGCTTCTCAGATAATCTTGCGCCTGTCTCTGGTTGCGGTTGGAATTTTCGGTGTGGTAGACATTACCAGCAGACTCATCTAAGGGTGATCCCTGTAAACACTCCTATTGTAGGGTCCTTAGGCTGGTGTCTAGCTGACCTAGCCTTTTCCTGGCTGACTAGGTCTCCAAGGTTGTCTTCCTAATAAGAGAACAGATCCCTTGAGGTCCCACTTGAGGAAATGTGATGGTGCAGCTTTTCTTAGTCAATATTCATGTGGATCCTTCTTTCCTTTCCCTGGAAGCTTGCTTCTTGAAAGTGTCAGGAAGGAAATTTCCGTATTAATGGGCAAGGTCTCCTGATATCTGGCTCTGCATTCCTGTTTGCTTTAAGGAAGAGTATGTTTGTGTGCAGCCTCAGGTGCACCGCAGTGGAGTAGCCATTGGCTTGGGACAGACTCATGACTCTGGGTGTTGGTGGTATCTTCAGTATATTATACCCCATGTGGCTTGTCATAAGCCTGTTTATTCCCATAGGGAGTGGACAGGGGTAGCATGACAGGGATGGGTTGAGAGTTTACCCAGCTGGCAGTTGAAAGAGAAAAGGTGGGTTTTATTTGTGTCTGATTGTGCCCCTTGTGGGTGACTGAGTGACTGGGTGACTGGGAATCAACGGGTCCAAAGCAAGTATGACAATTTTGTTGGGGTCCAGTGTTGGAAGCATGAGTATGAGGGTTTGGTCAAGGTAGCTACATGATGGGCCCATTGCTGCAGTGGTGATTCTGGTGAAGCTTCCTGGGGGTGATACGTGCTAGGCCCATGGCTGACTGTGTGCCCGCCTCTTGGCAGAGGGTTCTACTTGGTTGTACAATGGGCAAAGCACCCATGGCTCTCGGGTGTCATTGTCACTCCAGGAAATGCTTGTTGGAGACCCCAAAGTGAGGGCTTCGACATGGGAAGGCAGCATCAGGCCACCTATGTGAGTCTACTTATACCCATTACACAGTGAATGGACATCCATGCTCAGACAGTGACGGTGTACAGTGTCGTCTAGTGATGTTAGTGGAGTTTGGTTTTGTGCCAGGTGCGCCTCCATGACTGAGGGTCTTGAGCGAGTTCCTCCTCATTGTTCTCAGATTACAGACATCTGAAGAATCTGAGGGGCTGTCGAGTGTGCCCATAGTGGGTGTATGCTTTTAGTAGCATCCTTGGTTGGTGGAAGAGTCAATCCCGCCTTTTGTCCACAATGGACTGAGCTCAGAGTTGATGTTGTTTATGTGGCAGACCTTGCTGTCAAAGAGTTGACCTTTCTCCATTGCGGGTATAGAAGGTAGGCATCCTGACAGCTCCTTCAGGAGATGGGGAACACACAAATATCCTATGGTGCCAGGTGCACAGTGATCCACACACACAGAGCAGCACAGAGTAACACACAGAAACATGAGCACACCTCAGCATGGAGACGTGATGTGTTCCCTGGGTGTCCATACCGTTATTTAGCTTAGGGGAATTCATGGAGATGAGAAGGCAGAAACTGCAAAACAAGATGTCAATGAGAAGGCAGGGAAGCTACTCCACTGGCAGGGATGGCAATGCAGCAGACATCTGTGTCCTTGAGTCCCTTTCTAAAGTATTCATTTGATTTGTATCCACTTCTCATGGGCAGTTGCCTTGAGAGGCATTCCATTGGCAGGTGAGGATGAGGTGCATTCCTTCTGAGGACAGAGGTGCCTAGGATCCAGGATTCACTATGGCTGAGGCTGGCAGATCACTCCAGAGGGTAAGCATTTCCTGAGTTGGAGGGCTGATGCTGTTTCAGAGGAACGTTTCGTTTCCCAGGAATGGCTTCTCAGTGACGTGGTTCTTGCTTCTCTAGTATGCAGAAGTCCTTGGTGGTCACCGGCTCTCCTACTGCCGAGTCCCAGGGGAGAAAGTTCTAGCGGATTAGAATGTGCTTGGATCCATGAGTTCCCCATCAAAACATTCCTTGGAAAAGCTGAAAATGAGTGAAACTCACTACCATCTCGCTCATTGGAACTGAGGTCCAACATGTTGCCTGAACCAGGGCCTTTAGTAGTGAGGGACAACAGGCACTCCTTCACGTTCCTGCCTTCAGGGCACACACAATGGGAGTTTTCCCTGGGTAGGGACATTAGGAATAGGGCAGCACACAATGTGCCTCAGTAGGAGATTTGTGAGTGCAATGGTGGCTGTCTTGATGGCATGGAGCTATCATTTCCAGCACAAGTATTACTGACAGAGGTGGAGGTGCAGGCCTCCTGGGCTTGGAAGGCTGACAGCAGGATTTGTGTGTGTAGGCTGAGGCCAATGCATCCAATATCCAGGGATGAGCAGATGGACCAGGCCTTCAGGCTCACCATGAACTTAGACTTCTGCTTTCCCGGGGTAAAGACATGTTCATTGGTAATGGGGGTGATGGTTACAGAAAAGGGCAGAACCACTGCATTTCCACCCCCTGACTGGGTCCTCAAATAAAGGGCCCAGCAAAGCAAGATGGGCTGTCTCCCCACCCTCTCTATCACACTGCCACAGCTAAAATTAACGTGAACTTGGTCTTGATGGTCCTGGCAGGAATATATCCCAGACAGAGTTGACACATAGTATCCTTACTTGGATATCCACATCAGGATGGGTGGAGGAGGCTTCCCATATATTCCTGGGCAGGTCTCTGGTTGCAGGGAGAATTTTCAGCCATGGTGGCAGTTGCCAGCGAAGTCATCCAAGGGTGGTCCCTGTGACCACTCCTGCTGCAAGGTCCTCAGGCTGGTGACCAGGTTACCCACCTAGTCTCAGCTGACTAGGTCTCCATGGTTGTGTTCCTTGTAGGGGAACATGTCCCTCTGGATCTCACTTGAGCCTGTGTGGTGTTGTGGCTTTTCTTTGCCAATATTCAGGTGGATACTTCTTCCCTTTCCCAGGATCCTTGCTTCTTGAAAGCATCAGGAAAGAAATTTCATGTCAGTGGGTATGTTCTCCTGGCATCTGGTTCCACAGGCCTGTTTGCCTTGAGGAAGGGCAGGGAGTGCATTCAGTTCTAGGCACACTGCTGTGGAGCAGCCATTGGGTTGGCACAGTCTGGTGACTGTAGTTGTTGGCAGTGTCTTCAGTGTTCCATTCCCCAGGTTGGTGGGGAAGAAGCTTGGTTCTTCCCTTAGGGAGTGTATAGGGATGGTTTGAGATGTTACCTGGCTGGCAGTGGGAGAGAAAAGGTGGGTATGATTTGTGATTGATTGTGCTGCTTGTAGGCGACTGGTTGACAGGGAATCAGCAGGTCAATAACAAGTGGTTAGGTTCTGTTGGGCTCCAGAGTTGGAGGAGTGAGGATAAGGATTTGGTCAAGGGGGCTGCATGATGGGTAAGATGTCATAGCCTTGTCTGCAGTGAAGCTTCATTAGAGTGATTTGTGTATGTTCCATGGATGAGCTTGTGCTGGCCTCTTAGTAGAGAGAGGGTTCAACCCAGTTGTCCAAATGGCAACCCCCCAGAGCACTTGGGTGTCATGCTGTCTCCAGGGAAGGCTTGCTGGAGAACTCAACGGGAGGGCTCCAAAGTGGGAAGGGAGCATGAGGCCACAGATGTGATGTGCATTAGGCAGTGAATCTGATGAACATAGATACTCAGATGGAGGCAGTTTCCATGGATTTTGGTGGACTTTGGTTTTGTGCCAGATGCACCTCCCTTGCTAGGGGTCCCAAGCCAGCACGTCCTCATTGTCATCAGACTCTAGACATCCGGGGAATAGTGAGGGGCTGTAGCATGTGCCCATAGTGGGTGTATGCTTTCAGGAGCAGCCTGGTTTGGTGGGAGAGTCAACCCCACCTTTTGTCCACAAGGGACCGAGCTCAGAGATGATGGTGCTCAGAGATGAAGTGGCCACCTGTGTCCATGAATCCCTTTCTGAAATGTGCATTCGATTTGTGTCCACTTCTCAGGGGCAGTCGCCTTCAGAGACATGCCATTGGTGGGTGAGGACGAGGTGCCTTCCTTCTTACAACAGAGTTGCCTGGATTCCTGGAATGGCTATGTCTGAGGCTGACAGATGGATCTGGAGGGTAAGCATTTCCTGTGTTGGACAGCTGACGCTGTGTTTAGGATTTTGTAGCAACTTCTGGGAATGGCTTCTCAGTGACCTGGCTTAGGCTTCTCCAGGGTGTGGAAGACCTTGGTGGTCACCAGCTCTCCCATGCTGAGTCCTGCGGAGTAAAATTGCAAGTGTCTTATAGCATGCTTGGATTGATGATGAGTCCCTCATCAAAACATTCCTTGAAAAAGCTGAACAAAATTAGTGAAACTCACTATAGTCTCGCTCATCAGAACTGAGGTCCAGCACTTGCCTGAACTAGGGCCTTTAGGAGTGAGGCATAATGTGCACTGTTTCACATTCCTGCCATGCCTCCAGGGCATGCAAAATGGGAGGTCTCCCTGAGTAGGGGCATCTCGAAGAGGGCTACACGCGATGCATCTGGGTAGGAGATTTGTGAATGCAATGGTGGCTGTATTGATGGCAGGGCAACATCATTTCTAACGCAGTGATTACGGGCGAAGGTGCTTGTGCAGACCTCCTTGGCTTGCTAGACCTGCAGGCAGGATATGTGTGTGCAGGAAGAGGACTGGGCCTCCAATATTCAGGCACGAACATATAGGCCAGGCATTCAGGCTCGCTGTGACCTTGCTTTTCTGCTTTGCCAGGGTAAACCAGGGTCAGTGTTGATGAGGGGCAGGGATGTAGAAAGGGTTAAATCCCCTGAGTTTCCTCCCCCACCATTAGGCCTTCAACATGGGAGTGCAGCAAAGCAGGGAGGGGGCGATGTCTCCCCACACTCTTATTTGCATTGCAACAGACTTCAAGGCTCAGATAGTGGCGATTTCCAGTGGTGTTGGTGGACTTTGGTTTGTCCAGGTGTGCCTCCCTTGCTAGGGGTCACGAACCAGCACATTCTCATTGTCATTGGACACCAGAAATCAGGGGAATCGTGAAGGGACATAGAGTGCACCCACAGTGGGTATAAGCTTTCAGGAGCAGACTTGTTGGTGGGAGAGTCAAGCATGCCTTTTGCCCACAAGGGACTGAGCTTGAGATGATGGTGATTACGTGGTAGGTCTTGATGTCCAAGAGTTTACATTTCCCAGTGTTGGGTATAGAAGATGGGCAGCGTGACTGCTCCTTCAGGAGATGGGGAACACATGAGTGCCCTTGGGTGCCAGGCCCATAGTGACCCATTCACGTGGAACAGCACAGAAGAACATGCAGAAAAACAAGCACACCTTGGCTTGGAGACATGATGTGTTCCATGGTTGTCCATATCATTACTTGGCTTAGGGGAATTCATGGAGATGAGAAGGCAGGAACTGCAAAACAGGATGTCAATGAGAAGGCAGGGAAATTCCTGTTCTGGCAGTGATGGCAGTGCACTGTCCACCTTTGTCTTTGAATCCGTTCTTGAAATGTGCATTTTGATTTGTATCTACTTCTCAGGGACAGTTGCCTTGAGAGACATGCTATTGGTCAGCAAGGACAAGGTGCATTCCTTCTTAGGACAGAGTTGCCTGGAATCTTGGAATTGATGTGGCCTAGGCTGACAGATGGCTCTGTAGGGTAAGCATTTCTTGGTTTGGAGGGCTGACACTGTGTTTTGGATTTTGTAGCTTCTCCCGGGATCAGCTTCTCAGTGGCATGGCTCTGGCTTCTCCAGGGTGTGGAAGACCTTGGTGGTCACCAGCTCTCCCACTGCCGAGTCCCGGGGTTAAAATTTCCAGTGTCTTGTAATGTGCTTGGATCAATCATGAGTCCCCTGTTAAAACATTCCTTGGAAAAGCTGAACAAAATGAGTGAAACTCACTACCGCCTCGCTCGTTGGAACTGAGGTCCAGCACATTGCATGAACCAGGTCCCTTAGCAGTGATGCACATTGTGCACTGTTTCACATTCATGTCATGCCTCCAGGGCACACATAATGGTAGTTCTCCCTGGGTACGGGCATCAGTAAGGGGGCCATATGCAATGTCCCTGGATAGGAGATTTGTGAGTGTAATGGTGGCTCTATCGATGGGAGTGTGTCGTCATTTCCAGCACTGGGATTACAGGCAAAGGTGGACGGTGGATGTCTTGGGCTTCCTAGGATGGCAGGCAGGATATGTGTGTGCAGGAAGAGAACCAGGCCTCCAATATCTAGGTATGAATAGATAGGCCAAGCACTCAGGCTGACTGTGACCTTGCTATTCTGGTTTGCCAGGATAAAGCCAGAGTCAGTGTTTTGAGGGGGAGGGATGTAGAAAAGACCGAAGCCACTGAGTTTCCTCCCCCCGCATTATGCCGTCAACTTAGGGACGCAGCAAAACAGAGGAGGCTGTCTCCCCACACCCTTATTAACATCACCATGGACCTTTCAGCTCAGATAGTGGTGGTTTGCAGTGATGGTGGACTTTGGTTTTGTGCCAGGTGCACCTCCTTTGCCTGAGGTCCCGAGCCAGCACATTCTCATTGTCCTCAAACAAGACATCATAGAAATCATGAGGGGCTGTAGAGTGTGCCCACAGTGGGTGTATGCTTTCAGAAGAAGCCTTGTTTGGTGGGAGAATCAAGCACGACTTTTGTCCGCAAGGGACTGGGCTCAGAGATGATGGTGTTTACGTGGTAGGCCTTGGTATCCATGAGTTATCCTTCCCTCGTGTCGGATATAGAAGATGGGCAGCGTGACTGCTCCTTCAAGAGATGGAGAACACATGAGTACCCTAGGGTGCCAGGCCCATAGCGCCACACTCACGCAGACCAGCACAGAGGAAGCAACACACAGAAACACGAGCACACCTCTGCTGGAGACATGTTGTGTCCCATGGGTGTTCACATGTTTACTTGGCGTAGGATAATTCTTTTTTTTCTTTTTCTTTTTTTTTATTAAATGATACCTGTATACATTAATGCAAGCATGGGGTACAGTGTAGTGTTTTCATATACAATTTGAAATACTTTCATCAAGCTGGTTCACATAGATTTCATGTTATTTGCTTAGTCATTGTGTCAAAACATTATATTCTAGTTCTTGGAAAGTTCACTTATACTCTTGTTAGACAGATATATAGGTGATCTTTCCCGGAAGAAAAAGTATCCAATGTACACAGCCCTTTTATGAAACTAAATTATAGCTCTCAAATGAAGGTATAGGATAATTCATGGAGAAGAGAAGGCAGGAACTGCAAAACAGGATGTCAATGGGAAGGCTGGCAAGTTATTCTGCTGGCAGTGATGGCAGTGCGATGGCCAACAGTGTCCTTGAATCCCTTTCTGAAATGTACATTCAATTTGTGTCCACTTCTAAGGGACAGTCTCCGTGAGAGACATGCCCTTGGTGGGTGAGGATGAGGTGCCTTCCTTCTTCAAACAGAGTTGCCTGGATTCCTAGAATCACTGTGTCCAAGCCTGGCAGATAGCTGTGGAGGTATTTCCTACGTAGGATGGCTGATACTGTATTTAGGATTATGTACCTCCTCCAGGGAAAGGCTTCTTGGTGGCGTGAATCTGACTTCTCTAGGGTGCATAAGCCCTTGGTGGTCACTGGCTCTCCCACGCCAAGTTCTGGGTGGTAAAATGTCCAGCTAATGGATCAATGATGAGTCCTCTGTCAAAACATTTATTGGAAAAGCTGAAGAAAATTAGTGAAATTCACTATCGTCTCCCTCATTGGAACTGACGTCCAGCACATGGCCTGAATCAGGGCATTTAGCAGTGATGCAAAATGTGCACTGTTGAACATTCCTGCCATGCCTCCAGTGTACAGCTACTGGGAGTGCTCAATGGGTAGGGGCATTAGGAAGAGAGCTGAGTGTAATTTGAATGGATAGATTTCTGAGTGCAGTGGTGGATCTATTGATCGGAGCGAGCCATCCTTTCCAGCACAGGGATACCAGGCGAAGGGGGATGGTTTGCCTCCTGGGCTTGCCAGGCCAGCAGGCAGGATATGTGTGTGCAGGAAGAGAGCTGGGTCTCCAATATCTAGGCACCAACAGATAGGCCACACATTCAGGCTGACCGTGACCTCTGTCTTCTCCTTTGCTGAGATAAAGCCATGGTCGGTTTTGATAAGGGGGAGAGATGTGGAAAAGCTCTAAGG